TATATATATATATATATATATATATATGTAATGATATTTCTAACAGTTTATTTATTTTTTTATTTTTTTTGCACAGGCATCTCTTTTCATGTATACATAGACAGAATTATATATTTTGATTATATAGGGGAACAATAAAGCAGTCATATTTAAACAATATAACCTAATCCTGATATTTGGTGACGGGGAAATGGACAATTTCTTCTTGCTCTTGTGCGCAAGCGTGAACGCCATTCTATTAATGTATGTGTGTAAATGATAGTCTGCTCCACTGAATTTACATCGGTATGCATATAAGACGCTCACTTTGACGGCGTGCACGTGTACGCAGAAGAGCACGATGTTTTTTTTTCTATTTATTCGTTTCTATTTTATTTACTGTTTTTTTTTTTCTTGGACAATGCATTGTGCAAATATACCGTATATACTCGTGTATAAGCCGATGTGAATACCAGCTGACTACCCTCTATTCGATGTTTGAGAAATGGGCGAAAAACCAAATGTATAAGCCGAGGCAATTAATCAACACATTATTGTCATAAAACGTGGCGAAATCGGTAAAAGCACGTCAGGCTGTATGACGGTTCCGTATAGGATACAGGTTCGATTCCTGTCGGAGGATGAATATTTTCTATGACAATTTCTTGGATATTCAAGGCGGTTAATGTTGTTAATACTTTTTATTATAAACAGAGCATTTACTTAAATATTTGTATCTATAAAAAAGAATGTATAAACATAAAAATGTCTCTCTCTCTCTCTCTATATATATATATATAGCCGGCCATTCTCGTTTTCCAATCACACCCGTCTGCTAGGGTAGCTAAGCCAATCCCTACTGCAGACAGCTATTCAGGCTCATATGTGCTTGTTCAGCACCCAGAGTCCAGCTGTTGTTTATACTGTAAGTGCAACGAAAAGGACACTTATATTTAACAAAAGGAAAAGACAGCTGACATTTCTGGGACACATAATGAGGAAAGTGGGCTAGGTAAATTTGATACTCAGCAGAGATTGAAGGCAAAAAAGCCAGAGGAAAGCAATGCACCACCTAGTTGGTAAGCTTGAGTACATAGATGGTGGAGCAACGTTTGGTAAAAAGACAAAAGTTATTAAGCGGAACAAAGGACAGGGAAGAATCACGGCACATAGAAGATGAAGATGCTAAGCAGACATTAATTCCAGTTTTTGAGAGAGTGTGCATAATTTGTCATGACCAGCAGGACAGTAGGCTCAAAATCTCGGTCACAATGACTTGCGACTTTGCGCCAGCACAAACCATCGACGGCTTCCGAACAGTTCCGTATATCCAATTTCTCTCACAAGTCTTTGGTTAGCCCATGATATGATTTTTCAGGCACTTTCGAAAGGTGCCACACTCTAGGATCGCCTCCCAAGACCGATAATATCAAGGATTTACCTTCCTGACAATTCGAACATGGTGAGATTCGAACCCGGATCTCATGCTCAGAAAGCGAATCTTAATACACACATTTATAACCGGACAAGCAAAAATTACAACAACCACCTCATACATCATAGACCAGAGTGAAGAAACGTATATATTTGTTAGACAAAATCAATCATAGCACAATACAACATTTGATGAGTTTCTAGTGATTGTCGAAATCGCTAGCAATACCTTGTCAGACAACTCACCTCTTCTGTCCAGGTTCAAGTCCAGATAACATTAAACTAGGCATACCGTAAGACAGAAGTGGGCAATGAAATTTACTTAATTTATAAGCTCAGACACTATCTAGGTTTTCGTTAATAAAAAAGGAAATTTATAAAGAAAAAAAGCTAGAACTTGTAGGTCATTTAATGACCCATGTCTTTTTTGTATACATCAAAAATTATACATTATTAAGTTTCTGAAAAATGAAAATTTACTAAATCAAATAAATGAAATAGCTGTTTTTGTAGGCACTGTTACATATTTTCATTTTCCTTAATAATTAAATTTGAAAAAAATAAAATAATAAAGATTAGAGATGGAACATAGATTTTTATATTTGATCTTTAGTAATTAAATTCTAATATTTTTATGTGTAAAATACCATATAGTCTATTAATTATTAGAAGGTCAAATGGTACTTTAAATCTAAAAGAATGAAATTTAATTAATAAAATTTAAATATTAAAAATATGTCTTGGAACATATTTAAATGACCCCTTTTAGAAAATCTTTGTGTATAAAAATATGAATTAAGCGGATGAATAAAAATTCCACAATTTTTTTTATCATTGAAAACCCAGGCGATTCCTTCAATAGCGGAAGTATACATTTGTTAGCAGGCACCCCCCCACCTAAACTATCCTAACTTTGTAAGTAACATATATTGGATACATAAGCTGTCTATGGAAATTAAAAGCCAACCACCCTTAAATTAAAATAGATTTTCCTTAACCTTAGCAACTCATAATATCAATATTGTCTGCGCTTAAAAATTATGCAAATTTCTTTGAAAGTTTATTCCTAACATCGCTTGACAATGGAACCAGACTTGAGTTTATAAATTTAGTTTCAGTTTTGTAACATGGGATTTTTGTATGGCGATGGAATCATATTTTTAAAAAGAAAATAATTATAATATTATGATCTACACTTTGTATCGAGCACTGTTTTTTTAAAGATAAAATAACTGCTAAGAACACTGGATTATAAATCTTACAGTTCTTTCTTACTAATTTTATATATATATATATATATATATATATATATATATATATATATATATATATATATATATATAAGGCTGACAAGAAAACTTGATAGTCTTTCCTCGCCTGTTTCATTCTGCCTTCTATTTTGCAGCCATTTTGTCTTTTTATATTTTACTTACAGAGCTTGTCATTTTTTTGTCTTCTGTATCATATTACCAATCGTTCTTTATCTAATCTTTTCACAAATGGCGCACACCTCGAAAGATTTGGGACCATGATTTGTCTCAATTAGTCACTGAACAAAAGGAAATCTCAATCGGTCGCCCTAAACAAAAGATAGAAACAAGTGTTGTGAAGACGAACGTGCTTTTGTTACTGCACGCAGATCTTGCATACCCATCAACAACTGTAAGATGTCAGACGATAAAAATAACAATGGCGGACATGAACAATTCAAGCGAAGCAATAATGCATAAAATTTTAGCAACACGACACTCCAAAGCTACCAATGTTTGTTTTTTAATGACCAAAGGGTGACGGACAAACAAACCTAATCAAATTATGTATGAAGACTGATACTTAGCTTAATCTAGTGCGGAACTCGGTGTCAGTCGAAGTTTTTTTTTTTTTTATTATTGGATAATTTGTTATGAATTGCAAAAATAGCCTTATTCTATGGTAAAATATAGATAGATAGATAGATAGATAGATAGATAGATAGATAGATAGGGAAAAGACTGAGATAGAGAGAGGGTGATGCGAGGACGCGCATGCGTGTGCGGATGTAGTGAGTTTTACTAAAATTTATTGTAATATTGATTGATTGTTTTTTACCTTATCAACCACATTTGCATGCTATTTATAGCCAGGAAATATTTTTAGATTGTAAGATATTTTTGTTTTGCTGGGTGGGATATAATAATGATTTACTGATACTATTACTAATTAACCCATAGCGTGGGGAAGAAAAGATCGAACGGTATTTGCGCGTAAGTGAATATAACAACCCTAACTGGAATTGGAACTTGGCTCTCTGATTTCCACTTCCGAGCCATTATCCATTACACCACCTGCACATCCAAGCTTAGAGCACCTGATATTCCCAGGCGGTCATCCATCCATTTTACGGTGGTCGTACGGGAATCTGTGTTCCAACATGATATAACCGTAAGCCTCTAATTTATTGTTAGGTAACTCCCATCATCTCGAGAAATACCTTGATCCAACATGGCATTTGGGGATTTACTAGACCACAGAACTTAATGATCATAGAATTCTTTACTGAACTTCAACATAGAAAGGAACCAAGATATTATACATTTGTATAAAGATTGTAAGGCATGACGCTTTTTATAGCAATTTCTGTTTCAACGTGAAAATAATTGAGTCCAAAAAATATGTTACTGGCAGGGTTCAAAGATTAAACGCTCTGAATATCTTGTGTGTGCTTGTAGCATGCGTCTGTCTTCAGAGACCATGAATCCGCGCCTGGGAAGTTGTTTTTTTTTTTAATTTAGCTTTTGGTGAGTAGTAGCGCAGCGTCTGCTTTACCAATCCAGCGCAGTTAAGGCGATGCTGACGTGCCCTCCCCAGTGTACAGCCCGAGATTGCGATTATTTTTTATGAGAAGTCGAAAGTTACCCATGCAGCAAGTTTCTCCTCTCTACGATATTTTCAAAGAATGGTCCAGAGCTAATACCACTTGTCGCAAGAATTGCCAGAACGAAGCGCAATGAATTTGGGGCATCGGTTCTGGATGTTATCATCATGGTTTAACTACTGAAACATTTTCAATGATTGAATAAAACCATAAAGTAGTAGAGATATAAAGCCAGAGTTTTCTTACTCTTAGATGGACTGTCTCCTCCAAGTTAACAAGATCCATCTTGCTGTATATGCCAACAAAAATGCGAAACACTAGTTGCTATTCATGTATGCTGATCTGTTTTATATATATATATATATATATATATATATATAGATAGATAGATAGATATAGATAATTACTTTCTTCTATCTCTTAGAAAATGTCTAGCCAATCTATTGATTTATCATTCTAAGATAAGGTTATGGATTTATTTTTCGTTTTCTACGGCTTATCAACCCATTGCGGTTTAGTTAAAGCCATAAAATATTTTTGATGGTAAGATTTAAAAAAAAATTAATAATGGTTTAGTGATAAATGTCTTACTAATTAACCCATAGCTGGAGGGAGAAGAGATGGATACGTATCTTTCCTAGGGGTATTTACGCGTGAATGAATATAATGAAGCCAACGGCCCTTCGATTTCAAATTCCGAGGCATTCTCTATTACACCACCCGCACATTAAAGCTGGTATTCCCAAGCGGTCACTCATCTAGGTACTGACCAATCTCGACGTTGCTTAACTTCAGCGAAATTACGGGAACCAGTGTTTCACCGTGATATGACCGTAAGCCTAATATAAGGCTAAATGTGTTAATAAATAATTGAGAAAGCAAAATAAATACCTTGATGATTTTGCATTCATTTTATTATGCAACTTTGTTCATTTTTGGTTTTAAATAGTGCTTTGGATATTTTTATTTTCAAACTCAAGGTAATGCACTTTTTAGGGTATTTCGCTTTGTTCATCTGAGGTAATCACCAAGAATCGGAACTCCAAAGAACTATCAACTCTATTCTCTCTTACATTTTGTGATTTCTAGAAGTCTCAGTAATTGTAGTACTGGGCAAGCAGTAACCTTCTCTTTCCCTTTCTCACACACACACACACACAATAGTTTTGCACAAGATTGTTGCTGGCCATGTGAAAAAGCAGGCTTGTTTCTGTTATTCAGTATCTGTGATTCATTGATATCACAATTGCTTGCTTTCTTTATCACTTATTAATTCTTTGTCAGTATTTTAAAACAGTTGGTATATCTAGCACAAAATACTAGTTGTATCCAAGCATTTTTGTCTTTTTTTTATAATTACTTTCTTCAATCCATGATTTATTATAAAATGTCTAGTCACTCTTGATTTATCATCCTATGATAAGGTTAAATGTGCTAATAAATAATTGAGAAATGAAAATATATGCCTTAATGCTTTTGAATTCATTTTATCATGCAGCTTTAATTAACTTTTAGCTTTGCTTGGAGATTTGACTATTGCTTATTTAACAATAAACCACTATTTTTCCATATATAATTGGAATAGGATGTATTTTTGTTTTTCTCAGAAAAGCAAGTAGCATGAAAATATAATTTAGAATTTTTAATTTTATTTAGCCATTTTCTTTCTTCTTTTTTTTCCTTAAAGGTGTGTGTTAAAATAAAATGACTTTACTTCTCAAATTATTATATGAAAATAAAAAAATGTCATCTCAACACACAGATCCACAAATATCTTCATCCGACAAGAAATAGATAAAATAAACTTTTGAAAGTCATTCCGTACTTATTTTTACATATGAACTCAATATTAATTTAAAAAAAAAAAAAAGAAAGAATATCCCGTTTCTTGATGTTATTTCAATGATGAAGATTTCGTTATTACTTAACGCCCAAAGTGAATGTCTTTACTGATACGATAAAACAGTTATAAAAAATATCACATTATAATCCAACTTGTTCTATCGTACCTTGGTTAGTTTGCACTTAATTTACGCCCTGTCATCGTCTCAGATAAATAATGGACTATTCCATATTTTTTAAGAAAGAAACAAAACGGAAGCGATAACATTCTCATACGTTCAATAAAATGGAAAACCCTTGCCAATTCTGCATTTTTTCAATTGTACCCTTTTTAAACAATGACCTGACTTCATATTTATGATTGTTATTGTAACCATTTGTTAACGTTGTTCAATTCAAATATTTAACGTGGCAATCGTGATATTTACATGGCTATAGTTGTGAAACACCCAAGATGCTTATTCAGTGGCTAAGATTTATCAGAAAATTCAAATAGGAAAACCACGAAATTTTTACGGCCACTACTACTAGTTATTAACGGTACGAAATTAATCCCCGTCTTATAAAACAATTTCATGTTAATAATTATTTAATATTAAACAAGCACTTAGTAATAACGACTTTCTTAATCACATCCTCAATGAAGAAATAAAATTATTTTTACAGACAATTAAACATACATAAAATCATGATTTAAACAACAACAAAAAGATTAACTGGAGTGAATCTCTAACCAGATGCACTTCAGTTACATGAAAGATGAGAGGGCAATAAAAAAAATATATAATCTAAAGATGCAACATTTTCTACAGACAGTAATACTCCTGGCTATGTTCACTTTCCGAACATGAGACCAGAGTTCGAATCTCACTATAGTCGATTTGTCAGGAAGCTGACTTCTTCGTGCTCTTGGCCCATAAAGAAGTTCCCAGCGTGCGGACCTCTTTGAAAAGTGCCTGACTCAAGCCCTGTCACTGAAATTGGATAGACAGAACCAGCGATGGTTGAGCTAGTATGAAGTCACAAGTCATCGTGACCGAGGCTTTGAGCGTGCGGTTCTTGTTCAGACTGTTGATCACGCTAGATAATACGCTCTTTCCCAGAAACTGTAACTAAGGTCCGTTCAGCATAGTTACAGTATAAACTACAGGTGGGCTCGGTGGGTATTGAGCAAACACAAATGTGCCTGAGCAGGCGTCTACAATGGGGAGTATCTACCAGACAGACGGATACGAGCGTCCAGAGCGGCTAAATCTTTCGACCCAGTTATTATTAATAACACTTCTCCACAGAAATATAATTTGCAAAATATGAATGTTGTCTAAGCTAGCTGAAATCAGTTGTTTTCGGGAGAAATCAAATCGATTTGACTACATTATAGGTATTTTCAGAACTTTGCAAACACCAATTTTTTTTTAACAAGAATCCAGTTTCCAGTTCGCCCTGCGTTTGAAAGAACTATAAACAAATCGTAAGGCAAAATGCTTCAAAAAGTAGGAGTTTGGCTCAGGAAAGAAATATTTTACATGTCCAGTTGTATGTTGCATGCTCAGGAGTAACAAATCCTAAGAATGTATTCTTCGCTAAAAAAAAAGGAAAAAGGAAAAGCGGAAAAAAAGAATGAAAAAAAAATATATGTTTAGTAGTAGTGCAACGAATATATATAAAATACAAACGAATATATATAGTGCAATATATATATATATATATATATATATATATATATATAAATATATAGAGATATATATAGAGAGAGAGAGAGAGAGAAGGAGAGAGAAGGAGCGTTCGGTTACTGTACTCGTGGCCAAATCGATAAAGGCATGTCAAGCTAAATGACGGTTCCGGATAGGATACAGGTTCGAATCCTGTCGAAGGACGAATATTTTCTCTGAAAATTTATCGGACATTCAGGCCGGTAAATGTTGTTTAATACTGTTTATTATAAACAGAGCATTTACTTAAATATTTGTATCTATAAAAGAATGTTAAACATAAAAAAAATATATATATATAATATATATATATATATATATATATATATATATATATATATATTGGGTGGTACAAGATTATGAAAATAAATTTGATTAGATTGGTCAATCTCTTCATCGGTCCGGTTTTATAATTGGACAGAGTACTGCTTATAAGAAATTTAGACATCGGAGGATATCAAATTTCAAATCAAATCACTACCTTGATGTCTCGCAGTCTCTCCGACTGTTTTTGTTAAATAAAATGTTAATGTTGAATATCATTGCCGCCAGTAAATCAGAAGAACCTTTTTCACATGGTAGACAGAAATACAACATGAGGAAAGACATTTCCGGTCGAAATGGGCAACTGAGTTCATTAAATGTTATTTGAAACTTGACAGATCAAATTTTTTTATTCAAATATGAAGGTTTGCCAAGAAAACTGGCGAGCAGAAATGCGAAGATTACATTTCGATTTTATCTTATTTGCTTGTGTAAGTATGGAAGGTTCATATATTCTATACTTACACGAGTATAGAAGATCTACAACTCTATATATCGGAGTAATAGCGAGTAACTGAATGACAAAATGTAAAAAAAAAAAGGATTGATGACGTAGGTAACGTGATTCATCACTAAAAGTAGCTCCTCTAGGCTAGTAATAGTTTTATCGATGGAGTTAGTTAATATATATATATATATATATATATATATATATATATATATATATATATATATAAAAGAAGTGATTCAAGAAAGACATTTAGGTCACTAACATAAAAAAAGAGAATGTCTCATATCGAGAATATTTAGCATCGAAAAATATAAAGAAAAAAATTAATTATTTTGAATAATATTTGGAAATCTCCACCATTTGCCTGATGACGGTCGCGAGACCGGAAACACGTGTAGCAAAATTATGGAAAATAAAACATAATATTTTTTTAAAATTCCACAACCAAAAACGTTTGCGGTTTCTCTTTTCTTTTTATATACACACTTTTCTCTCGTTGGAGCTACTATAACCTCTTCCTTTATATATATATATATATATATATATATATATATATATATATATAGTGGGAGGAGGTGTAAAACTCTATATGTTATATGCAGGGGTGTTCCTAAAGTCTGGACAAACAAAATCTCATCAACTATATTTTTTTTTTTTTACCTCCACATTAGACATGGTTTTGTGAAAGAAGAAAAAGTTGAGTTCTTTTTCTAGGGTATACTAAAAGAGAAGGTCTACTCAATAAACATCACAGATGCAACAGAGTTGATTGAATGCATAAAGAGTGAATGTGCTAAAATTGACGACAATGTGAAGTTATTGCATCAAGTTCGCGTGAATCTTGCAAAGCGCATCAGAATTTGCATCACGAATGATGGAAATCATATGCATATTTGCCTGTGCCAGACGTCAGGGATACCCTGTATATATATATATATATATATATATATATATATGTGTGTGTGTGTGTGTGTGTGTGTGTGTGTGTGTGTGTGTAACATTGCTTTGATAAAATCCCTCAGGGGATGAGACGCGTCGGTTAAGAATAGTTTTTCTTCTTGTCTCCTTCTATTCATTTTGTTCCCCTATTCTATTTGAAATTAATTTATGCACACACACATACACACACACACACACACACACACACACACGCACACACACACACATACACATATATATGAACATTGAAGTCAACACTTAAAGGCGACAGGCTGTTTCATGCCTAGACGCAATCGTTAGGCCACATTATGTCGCCTCTAAGTGTTGACTTCAATGTTCACTTTTATATTTATATAGATATATAGATATATATATATAAACATTTATCTATATATATATATATATATATATATATATATATATATATATATATATATATATTATATATATATATTTATATATATATATATATATGTATTATATATATATATCTATATACATATATATATATATATATATATATATATGAATCATATACACATATATATTTATATTACATATATATATTA